AGAGCCTATCTCTCAAAAATACTGCATGCCATTATGTCATGTGTGGTAGTGATACGAACGGAGATGGGGGTCGCAGGGTTTCAGAGGTAAAATTAGCGAGAATATGGCCACCAAAGTTGGTTATATCTTTAGCTTGAGAGTCCAAGGAAACTGAAAATGTACATCTTTTACGCCTTTAATCAACGTTTTTCAGTAATAACCACACAGAAATGTTCTTTACTGGTCATGAAAGGTGTCGAGCTAAAAAAAAAAAATTGGATAAAAATTCCCAAACCTACCTGAAAATGCCAATTTCTTCACTTTCATTATTTTGACGAATGCCTGATTTCACCTAGCTGCCTCACATATGAATTGGGCCTTCAGGGTTGATTTGACATCATCTGTCCATGCAAACTGTTGACTCTTATTTGTTGACAGCAGGTGATTTAACAGTTCTCTAAAGCCGTCGTCATGTTAGAAAACCAACAATGAAAACTTAGATTACAGTACTTCTGGTATGGGACATTTAATTGAATGAAGTATTTGCAATGGCATGGTATCATTTGTAAAATTTTTATATTTACAGGAATTGAAGCAAATGATCTTGCCAGTCTTCTGCATAGATTTGAAGAAGGTAGGTCTATATATTTTATTAGGTGTGCCCTCACTCAGATTCAGTAAGACACATGGCTCAGATTGTTTGTATGATTTTTACTGTTGAGTCGAATGAAAAATTGTAGCGGTGATCATAAACTGGTGAAGATTGCATATCATGGCGCAATTCTACTGCGGAATACAGTGGAACTTGGATTCAAAGAAAGGAGATGGATTCCCCCCCTTTTGTTTTCTTTAAAATCAATTAAAAAAACACCAGGATTCTACGAACACTTAAATTGGCATGCTCGGATTCATCGAGGTCGATTCCAGGGTGAACAGCCCCCGCAGATGTGGCTTCACTAATTTTTCTCCCACAACGAACTTGATCTATTCCCCGCAACCATCCATTGCACATGCCTTGTGAACCATTATAATTTAGCCGATTCCAAGCGACCAGTCATTGGCCTTCTTTCATACCAATACATGCGTTGTTTGCATGTACACGTGTCTACTCTAGGCCTTGCCTGTGTCGTGATTGGATGGGGGGGCCTGCACACATGTGACTGGGCGGGGGGGGACACCATTGGTCCGGACATGGAACGTCACAGATACAAACACGTCAGTCTTTTTTTTCCCTCGGCAACTGATCATTATTACAATGATAAGCTAGATGTCTACGTAACAAATTGTGTGCTGGTCTATGGAATCAAAGGTGGCCGTATGCTAGGCTCTACACAGCAACACAACTTTTTGGCAAACAGTCGGGATGACACAGGCGTGCATTTGAACGAATCGATCTTTTTTTTTGCACATCTCTTAAAATGCAGGCATTTCAGGCAACACTTACTACTTCACTTTATACATTACTGCTCAGCGCCTGTGACTTTCTACACAAAACCTCATGTTTGCTGTAACGAACACTCAGATTCAGCGAGATTTTTTGTCCGGCACGGCGACCTAGTTGAATCCGATTTCCACTGTAGTGACATCAGATGCTATTAAAATTTATTTTAAAAAATCGTTTTTAAAAGAAAGCTTAAAGAAGTGTATCAATTCTCAAGATATTCATCCAGTACCCAAAAATATATAAAGTTGAAAATTGATATTCTTGCCCTAACATTGTCTTGAGGACCTGTGCCACCCCTTGTAGAGAATATGTTATTGTAATGAACCTGATAGCATTTATTATTTCTTTTCAGCCACAAGTTCATCAGATGATTTGAGTGTGCCCACAAGAGTTGCAAAAAATCGAAAGTATGTATAACAATTTTTTCCCCCCCCCGTTTGAATTGATATGTAGTGCTGCTTTTGGGGGAGAGTTAATTGAATTTTGTTCTGTCAGTGAAAACAATTTTCTGGACTTCAAAGTATCCTACCTCTTAGAAAATCGATTTGACTCTGCTCAGTAATGATGGTTTAAGAATGGTCCTGATAAAGTTTGAGAACCGTTACTTTTGGATCCACTTACTAAGAAAATGTACCTCTGTAAACTGAAGTTGCACTTACTTGCTGGTGAGTTCACACAGTAAGGTTGAAGAAAGATAACCATTTTTTTTGTCCCTGGGGATATTGATTGCTTTATATGGATGGCCACTATATTGAAATATTGACGAGTATAGTTACTTGTACTTTGCGTCTATGAAAGAGGTTGCCCCCGAATAATTGATACCGTGTTCAGTTCTTGCTCATTTGATTGCAGGTTTGAGGGTGTTTCATTGGTCTAAAACAAAGACTTTTATTTGTGTACTGTGTTGTATGACTTCTTTCTTAGCCCTTTTCCTTTTGGTTTAAGCAAGCTTAAGTGTTTTATACAAGGAGACTATCCCTTTTTTGTTATTAATCTGATGTTCATCACCTTGTTACTGGTGAGCAAACTCTGTAAACAAAATTTTTTTAAAAACAGATTAGAAAGATGAAGATAAAACGGATTGAGTATACGTGTCTTGTTCTGACAGTTGTGCACATCTGTGCTGAAATTCATTTGGTTGGTGAATAGTTTTATTATGATATTCAGATATGTAGGAAAATAAAGTTTTATTTCCCTATGATGATCTCCATGATAGTGATTGTTGTAGCTACTTCTCTCATCCTGCTCTTGGCTTCTTTTCCTTTGCGATTTGCCTTCAAATTTCCTCAGTCCATGAATTATGGCTATGTTAATTGGCCTGTGACACATGTGTCATAATTTTTAATCCCCTTTGTCATTTGTACTGTTGAAAGTCCCTTGTTCACCTCAGCTGTTCTTTCTTGGCCCCCTGCCATAACTATTTTAATTTTCACAGTGGATGCTATTAATGGGTTGCTTTGGTGTCTTTCAATAACAGCTGGAGGACATTCTTGAATGATTTATTTCTACTCTTTTAACGTTCACTTCAGGTGACTATTTCAGATGTAGAAGGCAGTATTGTAGCTCCTTCTTATTTCTCACCTTCTTTTGCTTCACAGGGAGATACTTTTGAGGGCTAAGAGTGCTGGTAGCAGTCCAGGTTTGTACAATGTGCTGCTTTCATATAAATTGTTTAAAAAAATGTATCTTCATGTTTTTTGCCTTTGTCTTACTCTTCATCACATGGTTGTTGAGTTGTGTTGGAGTTTACATGTGTATGGTTGGCGCGTGCTCTGGTGTGGTATGCTCCATCTTTCCTACCAAACATCCACTGTCCTTTACCTTTCCTCCTTTTTTTGTGTTTGTTACTCCCTTGTAACACCATTAATCCTCTGCACTTATAATACAAGTGACCTAATTGTGTTGCAAGTGTTGTAAAACTCCAACCTTACTAAAACGAAAAAGAACCGTGTTTGGCTAAGAATAAGAAGTAGAACCAGCAGACTACACCACTGACCTACTTGTTATTGTTGTTGAAAATATTCAGTAAATCAAATGCAAAGAAAAGAAACCTCTGTATATGCTCCGTTGATGTTTCATGACTACTCCTCAACTCAAACAAGGTTTTACCAAAACAAAATACCCTCAGTAGGAACTGTATTATTAGTGGAAAATTTGTTTTTTGAACTCTATGTCCTTCCTTACATTTTGTTATTGTGACAGTGATCTTCCTTTATTTTTTAAATAATTTTAGGTATTTTAAGAATATTCTAAATGTGTTACATACCCCCATGTATCAATGATTTTTTTATGAGCTGGTGGACTGGTTTGACCTTGCTTGTCTGGGCCAACCAGGTCAAGTCACGGGCAATATTGCATACAGACGTAAGTCATTTTTGGCGGCCTTTGAGATATGTCTGTATGCAATACTGCCCGCGAAGTGGGATACATCTCAGCAGACTCGATAAAATCTTCCCCACTCTGGAGTAGAGCTCACATTTTCTGTATGTGCAATGACAACAGGCATAAGTGTTTCACCACATTTACTGCATGTAAGTTGGAGAATGAAGACTTTTTTTTATTGGTAAGGGGATAATAAGTGTTAGTCCTTTTGTTTGTTTGTGTTCGTTTTGGTACTTACAGTCACACATATAAAAGTAATGTTTTCTGATTCTTGCAGCTGCCACTCCACCAGCTACTCCTCCTCCATATGGAAGGATCTCAGTTTCCAAGGGCCCGGGGGTGTCGCCTCAACAGCCTGTGCTTTTGCAAGGGGGTATCAAGGCTCACCCGATTCAACTAAAGTTTTTGTTGCCTCCAAATGCGTCTACTACACAGAGTGCTTCCTCATCTACAAAGAATGAATCCAGAATTTCTGCACTACCTGTGCAGATTCTGCCAGCATCGAGTTCCAGTACATTGCTGAATCAGACCAGTCTTCTCACTCGTTCAGCCATACCACATACTTCTGCGATTCGACACCCTATCTCTGGCAGCGTCAGGCTGAGTGTTGTCACAGCTCCCCAGCTTGCTAAAGGTAAAACATCAGTTTTGCCTGGAACTATCAGAGCCCCAGTGAACATTCAAGCATCAGCGCCAAGAGTTGTTGTACCTAAAAACTCTCATTCAATCTTCATCCAGAGGCCTTCTGCTCCGGATGTTCGTATTTCTTCCCATGGTGTTTTGTCTTCATCCAGCACAGCTCAAGTCAAAACCCCTACCATTGTTGGTTTAAGAAACGGACCTACTGCAACCGCTGATACCAGAAAACAAAAGCTTACTGCGATTGTCCCTGCTCCCCCTCACTGTGTTATTTCACAGATATCTGGCTCAGCTCCTTTACAAGCAAAGCCAGCTTCTGTCTCAACATCAGGAAGTTTGCTAACTACTACTTCTACTTCTTCGGCGACTACATCTGCCAATGTTAGCCTTCTGCAGTCAATGCTGGAATCACAGACACCAATGAATTCTCAAATTACTTCTACACAGCTCAGTGAAAGGCTGGCCTCACAAACTGGGAAAGTGTCTGCAGACGGGGTAAAATTAAAAGGTTTAAACAAGTCCTCAGTAAAATCAGAAGTTGAACCGTCAGTGCCTGCCATTACGATAAAAGCTGAGCAGCTCAGCTCTGCACAGTCCCAAAAGCAAGGTGTCAGCAGTGCTTCAAATTCTCAGGATCATGATTACTGCTTTTTGAAAATGTCAACGAAAGATATTGTGCAGCAAACAGCCCGTAACATTAAAGGTGATAGTGCTATCAGTGATGTGAAATCAGAATCTATGGAAGTTGTGAGCTCAAGTGATTTGAATACGGCAGCAATAGAAGATATGGAAGAAGAAAAAGATGAAGTCCCCATTGAGAGCACCACGCCTCAAATTCCTCTCTCCTCTGAGAAAGTGAATGAGTTTGTTTTTGAAGAAGGTGAATTTCTCATTGATGAACATGGCAATGATGCCATTCCTTCTGAGGACTGGATTGTTCCTGAACATCAGGGGTCTCAGGGAGAATGGAATTCAGCAAGAGTTGTTTCATTTGGTGGTGATGATGAGTCAAATAGCAGGCGGAGGTCTCGAAGGTATCGCAGAAGGGCAGAGTTTAGTACAAGTCCTGTCCGTGAGGATACTGGTAATTTCTTTGATAAGATTCCTTCATACTACACTGCTCTTTCTATACCCACCAAGCCAACGAAGACAACTGTGTTTGCCAGTGCAACGCGTGCTATTGGCACTACCGATCATTTGGATTTTGTTGATACCAGTGAACAAGTGGATGATGGGCATTATGACAAAGTACCTGCCCACCGACGCCTTTTTACTAATACAATCAAGGAAGTGGAAATACAACCTGAGGTGTCAGATTCAAATGTTATGTCTGAGGATGAAGAACCTTCGAGGTCATCTCAATCTCGCAGGTCCTCATCTCGTACTCGCCGGTCTTTATCTCGTTCTCGTAGGTCCTCGTCAAGACATTCCCACCAGTCAAACTCCTCACATCGAGCAAGGCGTTCAAGCTCTAGGCACTCAGCCGGCCACCATCCCAGGCACTCGCGCTCCAGGTCCCCCGCCTTGTCTGCCTCGGGGAGCAGGGACCGGCAGTCTCGCTCTACCTCCCGGCGGACACGCACCATGTCCAGAGGATCTGGACGCTCATCCTCCAGTTGCTCGACCTGCTCCTCTCGGTCGTACTGCTCTACATGTTCGGGTTCCTCCTCGTCTCGGTCACGGTCGAGGTCAGGAAGTGGTGAGAGGTTCAGTCGCAGTGGTTCCAGTGATTCCGCTTCTTCGAGGTCAAGGTATGGACATCAGAACTTGGTGGTTGTCTTGTTTTTACTTGAAAAATTTTTTAGGTTTCCTTCCTTGTGGCAGAGTGAACAGTTACTGTGTGTTGCATGAATGAGTAAAATGAATAGTGTTGAGGGGGTTCACTGGGTTTGGGGAAAAAAACAAAAACCCCTTTGATATGAGATACTCGCCTAATGATAAATCATAATAATAATATATATTTATGAATGTTGTGTAGACTTTTTAGTTGGCTGTCTCAGACTCTTTAAGAGTTTCAGATGAGTTGGAAGTCCATATATGAAGATCTTATATATACATGTATACTCGTAAATAGTGGAATCTGCTGAAACTAAAAATGGTTAAAGCTGAAGGCAATGGTAATCGAAAAGAAAATAGAATCCCTGATTTTTTTTCTTGTCTTTGTGAGGAAATTGTCGATTTGCTGAGAAGCTCCTATTACTAAACAACAAAAGTGGGTTATGTCGTCTAAATGTTCACGAGCAACCCTCAAGATAGGCAGATCATTTAATCTTACACGCTTAAAAATAACGAATCAGAGGAGGGAGACATGAGAATGTCTATACTATATATATATATGTGTGTGTGTGTTGATTGTGGGCTATGGGGAGACATCGCCAGTGTACCGTTTGCCCATGTAAACATCTATCACTCACATCAATAGGCCTACTCAGCGTGTTTACTGATGCAATTACTGTCTCTTCAAATCTAGTTCACATACACATGAGCATGTGATGGCATGTAATGTTTCATGACATCACTGGCATGGGGCCTTCTCCCTTCTCTCTGCCTTGCTCGACACATAGAACAGTACAGTCGCAGCTGATAGATAATAGTATGGTGTCTGTAGTACAGTACAGTATGCTGATCTATTCTTTTGTCTGTTCTGTGTGACTGTTTGGCAGAGTAAGCAAGGTGCGTGGTTGGCGAGTGCTCTGGTGTGATTTGCTCCTTCTTTCCTATCAAACACTGTGTTCATTGTTGCCTCAGAACTATTTTGTACAAAGTGCCTCTCAACTTATATACACTTTGGACAAAACTGAGGCGATGATCTGTCGTCCTTAATCTCCCCTCCTTCTTTTTTGCTAGCTACACTCTTGTATCACCTCTAGTCTTCGGCACATATATGACTTTATGGTGTTGCAAATGACAAATAAAACGAATGAACAGGCTGACAATGTTGAGGAGAAAGCACAATCATCCTACAGCTCAAGTTACAGTTGCTGAAAGAGGTCAATGACAAAAAAAAAACTTTCAAAAAGTGAAAATTGCCACAATGGCATTCCCAACTTTATACTCTTGACAGTCATGACAAGAAACGAAAAAAATTCAACGACAAAAAAAGTAAAGTAGTGACTCTATTTGAGCAATTGCTCCAAATTTTAAAACATGGCTAAACTGAAGAAAATCTGGCGGTCCTAAAGATTTCAATTTACGTGGATTCCACTGTATATTACAATATATACTAGGGGCATTTAATACATTTTTACACTGACTATGAAAGAAATGAACTAGAAAGTTGAAATTTGACACTCACAATGTTTTTTCTCTTCATAGTCTATTAACAAATGTGATGCATCGTGGTGAAATCAGGCGCTCGTCAAAATAACGAAATCCGAGAAATCAGCATTTTTTGGCCAGTTTGGGAATTTTATTTGAAATTTTGTTTTTTGGCTCAACACCTTGTATGTCAATTCAAAAACACTTATGTGTAGATTTGATGGAAAAGCGTTGATTAAAGGCACAACTAATTTAAATTTGCAGTTTCCAAGGATTCTTAAGCTATGGAAATCACATAACTTTGGCGGCCATTTACTCACTGATTTTACTTCTGAAATCAGGCGACCCCAACCTCCTTCAATCTCTAATATTTCGACTTCTAATCTATTCAAGATAGATGGATATTTTTTCACCAGATGCAAGGCAAATGAACAGGCTTTAAGATGATACCAATAACTCCATATGATATGCCCAAAAATTGATGAGCGCCTTATTGCACCGCGTCGTAGCACAAATTGTCACAGTTTTGCTATTTGTATTTGACTTTCAAGTCCTGGAGCATAAATGTGACCTTGGATGGGATTCTTAACCATTCCTCCACTGCAGATATATATAGCATCTGCATCACTATGGAAAAGATGTTCTTTGAGAAGTTTTTTTCAGTTATGGGGAATAGAACAAGTCAAAGTCGAAGGGTGGGGGAGAACTTCGTCGCCATACTGCCTTGCTGTCAGAGTTGCTGTCTCTGTTCTATGCACTGAAGCATTTTCATGCTGCAGGAATATTTTTTTTTTACATCTTCCTTTGTTTTCAAGAACTTCCCTTTTACTTCTTTAAAAGTGCTCTTAAGTCTAAACTACTGGTTGGATTTTTTCAAAACTCCACATGCTGTGTACCAGAAAGATAGAACTCACATTCCGCAAATTTAGTTGTTTTATGACAATTCTTTCATTGTCAGGGTAAAGACTTACCGAACCCCCCTTGTACATTATAGTTTTTGTGTGCAATAATTTCGGGATGTCAGTCCTAGATACTCTAGTAAGAAACTACTTCGTGCTAAGTGGACCATAAAATCATTGTGAAAATTATCTTGGTCTAACAAGAGTACGGAAAATAAATGTTCTTTATAATTATGCCTTATGAAAATCTATCAGATGCACATCAGCAATTATTGTCATAAGATATAATATAGTTAGTTAAATGTCCTCTTTTCAGGGTCTAATCCTAATGTTCATTCATAGGTCTCGTTCACCTGGTAGACAGAGAGATTTAGACATGCGCAAGAAGAGGTCACGGGCACATTTTATGCCAGATCGTCATGGTCGACGTAGTTGCTCTCGATCAGATCGACGGAGCCGCTCTAGATCAAGGTCAAACAGTTCCTCACGAGGGCAGAGATGGAGGTATGTAGTCAGGAAGAAAAGGACGTGTCTGTGATAGTAGTGTCATGGACATGTTATTCTGTTGTTGGGACATTTTCTTTTCTTATCAGCTGTCATTTTACTTATTTCAAGACACAACTTCTTATATATGCACTCATACCCAAATGAATCTGCGTGTTAGCTCATAATCCTGTAAACAGTGAAAATATAAAAGAATTAGGCCATTGTCTCCACTTGCGCTCAAACCTTTCTGAAAATAGAAAATTTTCATGTATTCTCACATTTGTTTACTAGGAAGTGGAGTTGCGTATTGGTCATTAATTAATTTTTTTTTCGGTGGTGGTTAGTTTTTTCCATCTTTTATTATCTGAATTAAAAGCATGAAGTTAAAAAGAGAAAGTTTTTGAAAATGAGCTGACACTGTTCAAATGGCTATTTTGCTTCTTTCCCCTTTATACAAGAATCTGGGATATAGATATAAGTGAATCAGGAACCAATGTTGGTATTGAAAGGGACGCACTTAAATGCTTATGTTACAAGGTCAGAGAAATGTATTTACTGCTATGTGTCCTTACAGCATAACTTGATTTATAGGAATTGAATATTCAGTCATATTGAGTTGTTGTAAGGTCTTTACAAGCATTTTTGTCCTGGGCTAGTAACAGTTTGAAAATAACTGCACCTTGTACATCATAGTTGTGGCTTTAGTGACATTGTGGAAGCTTCACAAAGTTTGCCTGTTTTCACCCAGGTCGCACCGGCACAGGACAAGGTCGCGTTCTTCAGCGGAGCGGCGTATTTCACAGAAGCGCAAAGAAAGAGAGGAAGAGAAAATCCGTGCCATGGTTAGAACTTCCCTTTTACATTCTTCTTGGTGTGATGAGTCCTTGTGTTACAATGCTGATGAATGTCTTTCTGATTCATACTGTTGATAATACATATTGTAATTATTATAAAACCAGTCGTCTTTTCTGGCTGCTGAGAGAAAAGATTTCCAATATTATTTGTTCTAACTAACATTCATTTACACCTCTCTCTCTCTCTCTCTCTCTCTCTCTCTCTCTCTCTCTCTCTCTCTCTCATTTTGTTTTGATTAAAAGAGGTGTGAAGTATTTTTGAAGTATTAGAAACTTTTATACGAGACTGGCTGTGTTTTCACAATCTCTTACTTCTTCTTCTTCTCGATCGCATCATACTTGAAGTCTGGTATCTGTCATAAATTGGGCCGTCCTGCTCAGTTCATCTGTCGGCCCGTATAGCTTCTCTTGCAGCGTCAGTGGGGTTGGCCACGTTTCCTGTCTCAGGGCCCTGTGTGTCTTGTAGTGCTGAAGGATGTGTTCAACAGTTTGGTCCGCCTCTCCATACTGGCATTTTGGTGATTGTACTAGTTTAAAACATTTGTACATATGTTGTCTCAGTCTTGTGTGTTGTGTCCTTAGTCTGAAGATAATCACTTGTTCTTGGCGGGACAGCTCATGGTAGCCCTCTGGTGTCTGAGGTGCTTTAAATAGTGTACTTATAATAGTTTTTATTTCTATGTAGTTAACGCTGTTGTCTGGTTGCTCTTTCTGTGCTCCTAGTTTGGCTATCCTGTCTGCCTGCCTGCTCATTTCCTAAGACACCACAGTGCGGTGGAATCCACTGCAGCATGATCCTCAGACATGGGATGTCCTCAATTTCTTTTCGTAGCCTTGGTAGTTTGCCGGAAGTGATTGCCTGCAGTATTGACATGGCATCTGTTAGGAACACTACTTGGCTTTGGGGGTCTACCACATTCTTGATGATGTTTGCTGCATGTATTAGAGCCTCCGTCTCTGCCCTGTAGTTTGTACAATGTCGCCCTGTTGGGACTGCCTCTGCTTGTCGTCGCCCATTAGGAAATTGTACGTACACTCCGGCTCCTCCTCTTTTCACAGCATCAGTGACAGATCCGTCTGTATAGATCCTTATCCATGCTTCTCGTGGGTATCTTTGTTCAAGCATGGACAGGGTGAGGGACTTCTTGCTCAGGTCGCTGTGGTCATCTTTTGTGGTGAACATAGGAATGGACGTGTGTATAATTATGTTTGTGTTTGTCTTTTCCCATGATGGTGCCTCTGGGGTGTGGTTCAGCATGTTCACGGTGGGTGGTAGATGGTCCTGTAGGGATCTTTGGATTTTTCTGCTTTCTTTGATGAAGTTGGACCCTTTTAGTCTTGTGGTGTTTGATCTGGCTGTTCTTGTGTGCAGTATATGATCCTCCATAGCTGTGGCCTTGGTGTACTGTATGAGGGCCTTGCATTCCCATCTCCTCTTCAGGGCCACTATAGATGTTGTTTGTTCCATCTTTTCTATAGGCGTTGACCTCATTGCTCCAGTGATTATTCGGAGAGCCTGGTTTTGCACTTTTTCCAGAGTGTATTTGTTAGTCTGTGCTGCAGTCATCCATGCACTGGATCCGTACTTGAGATGGGGCCTGATTGCGCCTAGATAGACCTCTCTAAGTGTTTTCTCATTTGCTCCCCACTGAGTCCCTGCTAGTTTTCTCATGATGTTAAGTTTCTTCCTGGCTTTAGTTTCTGCATTTTGAATGTGTTGTTTCCATGTGAGACGTTTGTCAAATATTATTCCAAGATACTTCTGTTGATTCTCGAACTTTAGGGGGGTTTTGTCTAATGTGAGGTGTTTTGGCTCAGCCTGGCTGAGAGTGAAGAGTGTAGCAGAAGACTTTTCTTTGTTTACGGTTACACACCAGGTTTTAGTCCATGTAGTGAGTTTGTCTAATGCGCTAGTTGCATGCGATATGTGGCAGTAGTGATGAATTCCGCCGAGCATCAAAGAACCAGGTCGTCTGTATACAATGCGGCATGTATTCCTTTGGGCAGTTCTTTCATGAGGTCATTGATGAAGACGACAATCTCTTAGATTTTAGGCAAATATAACTTTTCTTAATCCTTACTATTGTCATTTTCCTCTACTTCTTTTGTATGTTTGTTGATAGTCGAGGCAGACCTTGTGCTGTTGAAGCTAGAGAGGTGAGCAGAATAAGTCTGATTCCCTGTAAACATTTCTCTGTTGATACCCACCCCTTGGCGCTCATATGACCTTTTGCAGTTGCGAGGGCTGTAAAACCCTCTACTATAAAAAAACCAAAACTTTTCTTTGTCTTCTATGTTTTGCTTTCTTACCTGATGAATGATTGGGCCACAGGTACGACAGGAAGGAGGATGTATGGCCACATGAATAAACCACTGGTCAAAGATCCAATCAATGAGTTGAGGAGGGGAGATCAATCCATAATCTTCCAACTTAGAACACATGTACCCCTCAACCAACATCTCAACCGAATTGGAGTAAAGCAGTCTACTGCCTGCCCACTCTGTGACTACCCCTCAGAGACAGTGGAACATCATCTGTTCTTCTGTAGAAAACTAACTGATTTAAGGGGATGTTTTCTTCCCAAGCTACCCCACACATCTAATTGCCTCTACTCCTCAAAACAACAATTAGAACAGACATGCAGCTATTACCAAATGGCATCATGCAGAAGAGTTAACGCTCAGATGCTACTGGATCGCTAACAACAACGACAACCTACTTTTTGTCCCCTTTTCTAATGGCCAAAAGCAAAGGCATCGACACTTTGGAACGTGTTTTGAGAATGGATGACTTTTACATGAGATATCTGGAGATGATAGTGGTTAAAGATAAATTATATCCTAATTCATATTCACAGGAGGAGCGAAGAGTTGTCTATGTTGGTAAAATTCCTGAGGGTTTCACCAAGAGACAGTTGCATAAGAGGTTTGAAAGATTTGGTGAGATAAAGGAAGTGAAAGTCAACTTCAGAGAACATGGGTAAGTATATTTTCTACTTTTATTGTTTTCAAATGTGTGTTCTGATAAATGTTGCAAGCTTTTAGCAGAGCCACCAAAATTATTCTCTGGGAGATGTAAAAATAAGTAACCTTATCAATATATGGCAGAGCTGCCAACCGTATGCCAAAAAAGCATAATTTTTTTTTTCGCCATTGTACACTTGTGTACTGGTACGCCTTTTCATCGATTCGGTACGCCTTTTCATCGATTCGGGTTCGCACTTTCTCAATGTATGGGGCCATGCCGGTACTTGTCATCAGCCAGTCGTAGAAAGCGCTGGTAATGAAGTTATCAGTTAATACTCAAAGCGGATACTATTTCACAGTGCACTGAGGACTGAGGCTGGCATCGTGTGTAGCTCGATTACTTTCGTGATTAATACTGTTTGTATCTTCAAAATTGAAGACAACTAGCGCCACTGATGGAGTCAGCCTAGTTCTTTGTCAAGGCCTACTGTCAGTCCCATTTCCCAATGATCAGTCATTTGCATCCGCTGCGAACAAGTTGCGATACTGATTTTAGGCTTAGTGTGGAATAATCATGAAGATCTATGTACAGGGTGATTAAAAAACCCAACATGTATAACTTTTTTTTGTTAATGTTTTCCTCCACACTGAAGTTTCGCTTTTCAAATTTGCACTCTACATTTGGAAATAAAAAGAAATTTGTCTGATATTCATTTTAGATGGATCCACAGAACAATTTTGCTCTGCATAGCTCGTAAAAAAACAATCCGTTTTCAGCTATGTCCCCATTTTTGTAGCATGACGCATCAGTTCACTTTAGGCCTACCCTTAAAAATCTCAATGATTGCGTCATATTGCAAACTACAGTAGTCTAACAGGCCAACAGAAGTTTGCAGATAGTTTTTCTCAAGTTTCCTTTGCCTGCCGAGATCATGATTAAGATTATTAAAGAGCAGAGAGCTTTTTGTATTGAACTTTTCCTCACCATCAACTCATTTCGTAAGTTTTGCACAAGGTACGGAAACAGTAAAGTGCCCTTAAAGCCTTCTGTGATGTCAAGGGTGAAAATTATCCATCAGTTAGATCCTGTAGAGAATGAGAACTAAATATTCCCCGACAAAATGACCACTTTAGGTTAAACACACACCGTTCGCACCCCTTTAAACTAAACATCACCAGGGTGCAAATTCAGTAGATGAGCCCCAAGAGACGTCTGTCTGTAGGCAGTGGCTTTCCTACATCTCAAGGCAGGTCTTCATCTACGACTGTACCATTTTCCCGTTCGCGAAGCTTTCGGAGGATAGCAATGTGTTCATGATTCCTCGATCGTCGTGAAAAGCCTGTACATTTCCTCTATGACATTTGGTTCCTTGGCAAAGCCCATATTCACCGACGCATTTAAATGTCGAGTCCAAAGGAGGACATACAGACCATTGGTTCTCAGAATTCCAAAATTTAAAAAATATTATTTTAACTCAGTAGGAGAAAAGAAATAGTCTTTAAAGATTACAGCGATGGAAACATAAGATTTTTAAAATAGAAAAAAAAGGAAAAAACAAACCAATCGCTACACAGCTTTCCATAGAAGATCTTTTGAATTTGTGCATTTTACATTTATAGGTGGTTCTTATAAGAGCCATTACCGTTTTCGAAAATAAATTTCTTCTTTGTGAATTTTATGTCAAACAAATTCCTTTTCAATGAATTATATCTGTTCCAAATTACATTTTAGTAAAAATTTTGTGTGAGATATTTTTTGAAAAAGTTAACTGTTGTTTTTTTTTTATCACTCTGTTGATCCATCTCAACTAGCTGTGAGATTGCACTCTCTAGATCTAGTCCTATGTTGTGAAGGACAGTGATTTCAGTGGAATAATTTAGATTTATTTCGGAGGATTGTACACTTTTTTTTTCTTAATCTTACACTTTTTGAACATCAGTTGTATACTTTTTTATGGGTTGGGGTTGGCAGCTCTGGTATTGTTTTTATGATCCCATTGTGACATAACTGTACAAAATGTCTTTTCTACTTTGAATATATTACTCCTTTGTTTCTACTGATGGTGGTATGTACTGATTTCACAGGGTGGCATTCAAGAAGGGCTTCAAAAACAAATGAAAGATTTTGGCCTTTGAAAAATGTAAAACGCATTGTCAAGCTCGTAAAAGTTTCTTTACTTAACATTATGGTTTAGAACATTGCCCATATCTGTATTCTCTGACATACCAGTTATGTTCCAGAAGATCTATGCTTAGTGTTATAGATATGTTATTAAAACCAGAGCAGCTGAATATTCTGGTGGAAAGAATGTGTTGTAAGATGATTTGTTAACACATTAACTCTGAACCCCAAGAATATGATCTAGAACATTCCTCATTATCTTAACTTCTGTTTACCCAATGGAAAAGAGGGAACTGTTTTAGTTCAGGCTGTCTTTGAATCGCTATTGGTACTGTCTGCTCTTTTTTTGTTGAAATTTGTTCATACGTTCTCTCTGAAGTTGTGTATATTTTTGGGACATTATTTCCTTTCAGGGACAACTATGGCTTTGTCACATTTACCTATGCTTGTGATGCCATTGCTGCAAAAGAGAGTAAGTCACCTGGAGAAAATTTCTTTCTTTTGGGGTATATAGTTTGCAGCGTGATGTTTATTTATTATGAATATGTGTAAATCGCAATTCAAATTCTAACTAGTGTTAAAGCATTTTCACTTTGTTTATGCTGATATTTACCAAACTGATGAAAAAGTTATCACTTTGGGATAATTAGCTAAAGGATAGTGCACACTCTAGTACACAGAGGAACCGAAAGAATTCTTAAAGGAAGGATACTGCACTGGTCTTCAATGTACCAAGTTAAATAGTCATTTACTTTGACATGGCATTTCATACTCGGGTAAAATGATATGTGCAGGCAGATGTTAAGCACTGTGTGGCTAGATATGAGTTTGTGGTATGTAAAAGGATGAGTATATTCTTTAACTCTTTTTATCCGGGCTACGAGTATACTTGTAACAACGACTAGACCAGGCTACAATAAAGTCGGAACAGCCATACGGTCACGTCAAACAGCTAGTTCTGCTTGTAATTACTAAAATGCGGCAGTGCTAGCTCTGTCTGAATATTTCAATTTTCCAATGAACAGCGTTTCTTTGTTTTTGGTGGGTGTAGAAGCTTGAAAAATGTCTCAAAAACGAACATTCACGACCGACAAAGTACTTCTTGAAGTGGCACTGGGTTGTGAGGGGGAATGAGACTAATTTGATGAAAATGGCTCTGAATCAAGTTCCATAAATTCCGTTGTGGATGACAATGAACAGGAATTAGACTCGTCTAATAATTTGATAGAGATTCAGATTATGGTGAAGGCACCAGTACTGGAATTCGTGCTGTACCGATGGGTAGAGCTAGATCACCGATGGGTAGAGCTAGTTCTATAAATCCAAGGGGATGTCGTTGATGCGGCAATCAGGGTCAAGTTGAATATACCTCAAAATATACATAGTGCAATTGATGTAATTCCCAACCCTATACATTTTCAGATACTACATTCAATTTCTAACAGAACTGCCAACTTTCCTTAAAATCTAAGAGTAACTCTGAGAAATACAGTACCGTACTTTGAAATGTACACACTGAATTCCCACTCATATAACGCTGCGGCACCTGGGCGGGTACAGAGTCCTGGGGGGAGGGGAGGGGGGGGGAGGGGAGGGGGGTGGGGTGGTTGCGGCCAGGATAAAGAGTGTCAAACTATGCTTTTGCTCTTTTCTAAGGCAGTCAGGTTTTATGGTACTGTATGTTTAATTCAGCATTGCTCTTTGAATAGCATGAAGCTTGAGAAAAGTTATTGAGTAATTTGCAGGGATGTCATTTTTCCAGGGGGAGGTGGGTTGTTTTTTAAGGTAAAAGAATAGTCATTCTCAGCATTTGTTTTCTGTTTACCCCCATATTAGTTGTGGCTGTGGTGTGTGAGAATACCATTCTGTTCAGATACATTTTTCAAGGCTGCTTGGTTATATTATGTTATTACTGAAACTGAGATTCAAAGGCTATTTTTTTATGTTATTGCTGCTTACGCAGTATTCCTGGTTTTGGGGACTACTGACCTGTTTATTTGTTCTTAGTCATTTTTGTTTACGATCATTCCAGTTTGTTTGGTTGTGGGCCTTTTTTGTGAAATATCTTTTTTTCTTAACGCATGTGCTGTCACTTTCATGATGCAGGCGATATATTCGCTAATAGGTTTTATTTCTCTCCTGCTACACTGATGTATTTGCCTTGTTATTCTCACCATTTGTATTTAGCCATTAGTGTTTCTTCAAAAGTAAAATGAACAAAATTCTTTTTTTTTTCCAGGAGGGAACAACCTCCCTGGGGAAATGAAGTTTGACCTTTGTTTTGGTGGAAGAAGACGCTTTTGTCCTGACCAGTATGCTGATCTTGGTATGGAAGCCAAAATTCTGCTTTTAGAGCTATCTTTACAAATTAAAATATTTGCAGCTGTTGGGAAAAGGATGCTTTGTTTTTTGTTGATGAAAGTAATAATATGCTCTCTTTTCTCAAATTGCTATGTTTGAAATATATTGCTAGCGCTAATTACAGCATTATGCTGTGCTATATAGTGCTGAATGTGTCAAATTATCAGTTTAGGTTATTGTTATGGTTGGATTTATTTGAGAAGTCAGTAATGGCCAGTTGTGATTTGATTCTTCTATTGTTTTTTTATGTTGCTTTCTCCATAATCTGATTCCTAGCACTTCCACATTCTAGTGATTATATTTGATCTGCTGTTAACTTTCAATGTTTCCTCAAAGAAATTAACTCAAAGATTTTGTAAAAGGATTCACCCAAATGTAAAAAAAAATTATATATTTGCCAGAGTGACTGCCGGGGCCCCGGGAATTCGATAAAAATTGTTGAGACCCAGGACAAGGCGTCACTTTTTGCCTGATTCTGTTACTTTTAGTTCGCGTGACTCAGCAGCCCGCCGGAGCTCCCCGGCTCGGGGTCACGGGGTTAATGAGCCCTGAAGCGACTTTGCCGGTGTCGGTCAGGAAGTTCGCATTTTTTACTATGTTTAAAACGATATAACTTCTTCCCCGACCCACATAGCAAACCATTACGCGGATGTGCTAAAAGCTCAATGTCTTGAGATTTATTCTGCGTTAGAATGGTTAGTTTCTGTGCCTTAGTTTTTGTTCTAGACAAGTGTTTGTAAAGTACCCAATTTGTCCTATTTTAGTTACAAACTTATGAATAAATGATTGTTAATTTAAAAAAGGCTCGACAGATCTCTCCAAAATCTGTGTTAAACTGACTACGAATATCATGTCTTTTACCATGAGAAATCTTAAATCTGCGCGAGTAGTAATAGTCAAGTTATAAGAGAAGAAAGATGCACATCTGCCTTTTTTTAACTAAGAACGATCAGCGTTAGCTCTTATTTTACTATTAAACAAGAGAAAGTTACTCTGCATTTGTTCATGAATCATGCTGTGTCTGTGGCAGCCTGCATACAACTAAAAAGATATAATATAAGCGATTAAAAAACCAACAAAACCGTGTAAATACATGGGTAGAGATAAACTTCTTGTATGGAATAAAAATGACAGCTAAAACATTCATTCTTAGTTTTTGTGTAGGAAATATGCGCGGACACAATTATGAATGTAAAGAAATCAGGCACATTGTCAGTTATTGCAAATGGTCATAGAAACGAAAAAAAAAGCTGGAAAAGTCTGGCGCTGATTCAGTGTCCCTGGAAAGCTAGAAATTTTTCTTATAACCCAATTACGAGAAGTCATCCCTATTATTCAGTCAACTTACAAAACCTAGACTTAGCGATTTAAGAAAAGTAAGGAATTTCTGGAGTGTAACATATACTGTTCGTGTATTAGATCTACGTTGAAGATGTATTCTAGCACTAAAATCGATTTGTACTTTTCATAGAGAAACTTCATGGTAACTTTTATAAACTTTCGAGAAAATATGAGCATATTCACGATTATATTAGACACATAAAGTTGTATTTGGAGGAATTACTTCATAGCCAATTGTGTGCCCGATGGATAGAATTGTAAAATTACAGCCTTCTATTATATGCGCAGATACCATCTTTTCTGAGTATCTGCACCAATGTTATGTCGTTCATGTCCCAAAAGTTCGACAGATTTTGACAATGCCTTTTTTTAATATTGATTTTTTTTCCATTCACGCTAGTCCAAAAAAAATTACAATTTAGCATTGCCGACTCCAGCGCGTCTAACGAAATAACCAGACAAGTTACAACGTCCGTTCTTTTTTGAGTCTCAAGAGCAGAAATGCGTGCTTTGGGTGCACTAACTGAGAATTACCATAAATACAAGGATACACCTTAAATTGTACGTTGAAAAGTACCAAAATATTTAAGTTGGCCCAGACGGAGCGGCGACAGGGAGCTGACCCCCGTGACCCCGACGTGATAAGGCGCCGGGTGGGAAACCCCCCGCGAAAACTAAAATTCCACTGCCGGTGCGCCGTGGGGAATGCCCGGGAATTTGAGGAAATCTGTAAATTGCCTTGAGAAAAAACCGGGAAGACCTGGGAAAATACGTAAAGCTCTCGAATATTTGAAAACAATTTCCAATAAGGTCAGTCAGTTCATTATTGCCGGTCGCAGTTGTGATGTTCGTTCTGCTTTTCCCGGTCTGAGAATACGTTTCACACGAACAGGCAGCTATGCCGGAAGTGTATTTGTGACACCGAGGCTTGATCGGGAATATCAAGATCTACTTTCACTTTCGTTACCACCCAGAACTTTGCCGGTGATAGTCTGATAACGCACCAGTTGTGACTTGCAGGTCGTGCACTTCAGACGCTGTGTCACCATGAAAATAAATAATTGTCACTATTCTGTCACTTGTGATAAAAGAAAAGCAAAGAAAAGGAAGGCAATACCAGAGGACAAAAAACTTGGAAGCAGATTTTATTTTAAAATTTTTTATTAGAACTCTCTACAAAGCGCACTTTGGTGCCGTTCGTGTATGGAATCAGGATCCGTCCTACCTTGTAAGCCTTGTTATTGGAACTAAAGGGTTTGCGTTTCATTGGATGGGTGATAATGATAGTAAATTAAAACCACATTTTAGCTTTCTGTTCAAGATTGGCAGATTTTCAGTGTCACTGCATCTTGCCCTCTCTCAGTTTTTACTACTCTCACACTGAATAGGTCTACTTGAGCCATTCAAGTTATTACTGTACTTTGAGTTTGAGCTATCATTTTTGTCTTTTATGTTTATAATATGAATCATGACACCAAGACTGGTTCTTGACAGTCGATATTCTGGTTCTAGGCCCTTTCACAGGCTCAAAGTAGGATTCATTTTTGTAATATAGTTTATATGTATGTAATGGTATATAAAGTGATGAGGGGAAAATATAAGTAAATAAAAACAGACTGAAATATCTGTCACACAAGACTCCAGTGCCACATTGACATTTTGTTGACTGGATATAATGTAGGCTCCGTACTTGTGTGTGTGTGTTATATTTAAATGAAAAACATGCTATCATTGCTATGTAACATGCCCCTGGAAAATTCAGAAGCCTGTTTGGCAGTCACCTTGATTTGTGAAGGCTGGAAACAAAAGTGTATGTGAAAACGGAGCAATCACCTCTTGTCTGATGTTAATAAACCAGATGTGTATTTTATACCATTTTGACGGTGTGGTTTATTTTTATGTTGGATATAAAGGTGCCGCTTAAAATCTGTTTTCTTATTCCCATTCACCACCATCACACGCCCCATATATATATATATATATATATCTCTCTCTCTCTCTCAGATGGAAATCGTGAAATTGAAGAAGAGTATGCTCCAATGCCCACCAAGATGTCAGAGGAGCTGGATTATGCAGCCTTGCTCAAACAACATTCAAACCAACAAAGGAAAAAAAGATAACACAAGGCAACGGGCTTGTCATCTCCGTGCCATATTATGCCCAATGGATAAATAGCATGGTGCCTCCTACTGCCCTTTCCAAGTATATTAGCATTTGATAGACCTGATTATGTGAATGTTAATTAGCTGTTTGAGATAGAAAAAAAATACATTTTGGGGTTCCCTGGTTGTTTTCAAGTGCATATGCATGGCGCAGTTTCTTTTTATTTTTCTTTGATACCTCTCCTGTTTTTGTAAGAATGAAGTTGATAGTCATGTGCAGGTTCTTGTGTTTTGGTGTATGCTTTTTCTATTGACTTTCATGCTTGTGTTCCAGTTCTAGAGTACTGGTTTGTTTGAAGTTCCAAGTCGCACTTTTTGAGGTGGAATCTTTCTACTGCCCCGGCCCGGTGATGAATGCTTATTGTATTGTGGGTACTTTCCAGTCATAATAATTGTAGGAAATCAACATCAGCTGTGCACTTAGGGTATGAAGATGTTTTTGCAGCTCTTCGACTCTGGCTATGGTCAGTTTTTTCTTAGGTGATTGACCTTGTCATTTGATTTGTACAAAATTCTCACGGTATGCATTGGTAAAATATCACACAGCCTTCATTCTCAGGAATACCACAAGAGATCAAATAGATTGTGGTATGTGTAACTTGTGGGGTTTATTTTTCTTGATATATAGATTTACTGCTTTAATATCTCATTAGCCTTTGCACAAATTTTGTCTCAGTTTCAAGCATTGTATTTCTTTTTGATAGTAGTGATCTGAGCATAAATGGTAGTTTTTATGAGTCTAGAGACAAGATTGTTTTCATAATGAGAGTACTTGCTATCAGAGGCTTTCGTCTCAAGGCCAGACTCTTTACTTTTCTTGATTATCCTATTTGTTTTTCATATATATAGATTAGGAGCTGCCAGTGTAATGTTTTTAATTTTTAAATTTATTGTTGGCATAATCTTGAATCGATGGACTTAACCCCATATTGAAAAAAAAAGTGCAGTGCAGAAATGTTTCTCGGCTTGTGTCAAATGAAAGTTCTAGATTAAGTGTTTATGAAGATTATTGTGAATCATATGCAAGGTGTGAAGTTGGATGTAAAATTGCTTTGAAGTGTTTAAATGAGTATGATAGTTTACATATGAAATGTATATATTGACTGACTGACTTTTTTCCGTTTTTGGCTGCGATGAGGTGCCAAACTCCTTGCCTCCGTTGTATGTGTGATTTTGTTTGTACAATAATAAAATATAAACCATTTTATTCTGTCTTAAGGTAATGATATGATCGTTCGTGTAAGTGAGACAGAATGGAACTGAAAAAAAAAATTTTATCATGCGAAAGGTAACCCATTAGCTTTAATTCCGTTCACAGATACTGTTATCATGTCTAATTTCACTTGTCAATAAATTTGTTATCCCTGGGGTTTTTTTTCAGGCCATAACTATTTTTCACCTCTTGTTTACTTTGGAAAAAATTCTTGATTTGTTGTGGAATATAGTGTACAGGTTTTTATCTTGGAGGGAAACTCAGATTTCCCACACCTTCTGGTGTTTTGTTGTTGATGTGCTGGCACCTATTGGTATTGTCACTTGCTTCTCAATTGTTTTGGGTTTTTTAATTATTTGGTTCTCCTGCTGTAGGCCTTTTCCGCTCCTTGGATCTTCCTTCTAAACATAGCTCCTTTGCCACTTACTTGCCAGTTGTACTCACTGTGGTTTAGTTGTTAAGTCACTGACATGTGCAAGTGTTACACTTAATTTAGACTTAAAAGTTTTTACTCACTTTTTACAGTTAAATGCTTTTAGTTTTTTTACAGTAGACCTTGTTTTACATGAAATTTATGATAACTTGAAAGGATTTCAATTCCCAATTTTTCCTCACTTTATTTCATGTATTGCAGCTTCCCTTAACAGGAACAAAATTCTAGCAGGTCTGGTTCTAAATAAGGAGTTTTGGACTGTTTCATCATTCCTCCTGGCTGACTCTCCCCCCACTTTCCTTTTATTTTTTCGTTGCTCACAGTAGCCTACTGTTGCCAGTATATGTTATACATCACGCATTCAATAGGTTAAGACCCCCCCCACTCTTCACAAAAACAAAAAAAAACAACAATCGAGGAACCTTTCCCTCTCTGCATACGCAACGGATGGCGTGGGAGTGGCTTTGTCTTGTGTGTCCGGGAGATGAGACACTAGCAAGCTGCGAACCATCCCTAATTTTATTTAACGGGAATGTCCCATTAAAAAGACACTAGCACGCTGCGAACCATCCCTAATTTAACGGGAACGTCCCATTAAAAAATGTTCTGATTATTTTTGTAGTGTGCAGCTACAGTATATAAATTCCAATATTTTAACCGGCATCTGTGGTGTAGGGGTTAGGCGCTTCGCCATCATAAGTAAGTGACCCGAGTTTAAATCCTAAGTTGGGTAAATTTTATCAATTATCTTGGTCTTTGTGTTGGGATGTTGTATCCCTCTCAGCCCGGATTGGTCTTGACAAGCAGGATGGAAGCTTGTCACCTCCTAAATGATCAAAATTGTCTAGATGGGCATAAAAACACCTACATTAATTAATTTTTCTTGAAAATTCTGTTTTGTTGGGTTTTTTGTTGTTGTTCTTAAACTATTAGTGTGGGCAACCAAGAAGTAAACGGTCTCCCCCTTTTTGTTCTTTTCATTAGTGTAGGACACTGCTAAATGCAAAGTCTGCATAATGAGAAAGAGTTCTCTGGTCCCATGAAGTTAGTGTTGTCAGAATCAGTTTTTTTCTGTGTATACATGTTCTGCTCTTGCAACTTTTTTAAAGATGCAAAACCAAAGTTTGTTATGCCCGGGTGTTCCCCTTTAAGTTTGAAGACTGCAGATAACCTGAAAAATGTAATGTGGAGGAAGAAAGGTCCTCCAGTGTCTTTTCTATCCATTTATGTGCTGAAGTTATTTTGCAAGAGAAGCTCTGCTGAAGGGGTCTGTTACTTCAGACAGCTGTCGTCATTGTTTAAATTTTCTTAAGACTAAGACGTTATGTTTGACATTTCCCTATGTGTAGTCTGGTTTTTGTTCCTTGACTCCCATTTTTCCTGGAGAGTTTCTCAAGTCTTGCTTGTGATTGCTTTCTTATAGCTGCCAGACCTGTTGCTCTGGAATTGGATTACATTCCAGTCAATAGAATTTCCTCGTGCTGACTTTCGTCATTAAAATTCATTTCTTGATATTATTGCACATTGTAACCATTTAAAGCGCAGTGGTTCATTGCTCTTGGGAAAAGTTCTTTCATCTTTTAAATCAGAATGCCTCAATGCTGTTCGTGTGCCGTGTGCCATTCTAGAAGCTGTTGGTCTTATGTTCATAAATTGGAAAAAAATTCTTGCTCAAAATTGTTATATGACACGAATTGAATCTTGTTTTATGAGAGAAATTTTAGGCCCAGGACTTTATGCATGCTAGTAAAGTGTCTTTACAGTTGCGAGCGCCGTAAAACCTTATACTACTACTACTAAAGTGTCTTTTTGATCTAGTTTTGTCTTGAATTTTAAAAAAATGAGTAAACAAATGTTCCTTTCTAGACTGTATTTTTCTAAACCCCAATACCAGAATAGGCAGAGGTGTTTTCTTTTACAGCAAGCATTGCTTCCTGTTATGGTTTTGTTGCAGCCATCTGTTTTCTTGGAATCAATAGTTTCATTGGGTTCCAACAGTTGTACTGTTTCTTAATGGGACTTGATATGAACTCCCTGTCTTTCTCTACAAATGACGTGCCATGAAACAATTTTGTCTTAATTTTTCAGCACAAAGTGTCACTTTTCGGATGTGGACCATAGAACAAGGTTCCCTTAGTTTACTTACATCCTCCGTAAACATGGAAGAAGTGCTAATGCAACGACAGTGTTCATTTTTATTACTATGAAGCCAATTATTTTCTTATATGTGTTCTTATAAAATGTTCACCTGTGGATGTAATTTAATTCATGTGTTCTACTTTTGGATTAATGGCTGTATTAATCTTAAAGTCATAGCATTTTGTACAGTTCTGTTTGCTTGTTTACCTATTTTTAGGTGTTTTTTTGTGGTGGTATTTTTTTCATTTTAATGTTCTTTGTATTTTGGTGTGTGGATACTGTGACTTGCTACCTTTATTGGTGGTGTAAAAGAGATATATAGCTTTCCATTTCTGAGTTCCCCTGCCTCTGTCCGTAATGCACCATTGCGTTGTGACCACACCAATTAAACTTCAGTCCATCTTGCAAATTTGAGATTAGAAACAACTGCTGCAATAGTCAGGGAAGAGTTCACAGTTCAATGTGATCCTACCTGGTGCGGACTTTTAGGCCCTACCCACCCAACTTGTAATATGGAGAGCTCAGATGCGAGTGCGATGTTTGGGGGAAACAAACGCGTCAGCGAGTTCACACTTCACTGTGAACCTGTCTGGGGCAAACGTATGTTTCATTGAGATTTACAACAGACATGTGACCTCATCCAAGAGAGTAGGTGGTCTGTGATGCAACTGGCAGTTCAATGTTTGCAAAGTTTCACTTCTAGGTTGATCAGTTGTGTCCGCCCAGGTTTTTGTTAAGTAAATTATAATCTGAAATTCGAGATCTTTACTGAATGTAATCTTTCAGACCGGGATCTTAGGGATGACTTTTATGTGGTAAAAATTCTGTTTTCTTATAACAGCAGGATCATAAAGAAACTGCAATTGGAAGCGGGTGGGATCAAAACGTGACTGTCTTTTTTTTTCCCAGTCCAACTTTAACCAAGTAGGCTATCCACCAAATAAGGTCAAACACTATTTTTGAAAAAAAAAATTCTCTTGCTCGTCATCTTCCAGAATTCATCAAAATTTTGCATAGTGTGTTTCTTTTACTATATCATGTTTCGTCATTACAATTGTGGAATACATGGATACGAACAAAAGAAATGTTGGGCCTAATTTGGGGGATACATGTTTTTTTATGAAATGATGAAATGTAATTTTTGACTGTGAGAGTTAATCCCAAAAGGAACTTAATGGTCTCTTGAAGAGTGGAAGTGCATATTAATATGTGTATTCATAACTCAGTGAACAATGTGCAACTTATGGTTTTGAAACTGTCCAGCACTTGAAAGAATATGGTTCTGGTCTGAATATTTCTTCCTACTTCCTAGATCCATGTCTTGTTTAAGTAAGGACCTAGTGCATGCCTTTGAGAGATTATCCTATGCAGTGTGTCGTGTGTATGGAAGCAGATTTTTGGAGTCATTATGGGTTTTTTCCGTGTATAGAATGTGCTCAAACTGTTCATGTATGCTAGGGCAAATGTTCTTGAATTTGCCTTATTTGTTTTGGTCTTACTCAGATGTTTCTGGCAGGTTTTATTACTTATACACTGACAATACCTTCTTTGTAGAATTGGCTGAAGGCTGCTGTTGGTGTGATCTTTTGTCAATTTGAAAAAAAAAAAAATGTATGAGTTCAAACAAAGGTTTTTAGCTTGAGTGTCTCTGATAGTCTAGAATGTTTAGGGTAGAGGCATGCTGCACCCATGTACAATGAAAGGAGGATAGAAAAGTGGCTGTGGCGTCGGTGGCCTAGTGGTTTGGGTCTCAGATTCGCAACTGTAAGGTCGTAGGTTCACATCCTGTCAAGGCCCTAACGTGTCCTTGGGAAAAGCACTTTACACAAATTTTCCTCACTTCGCTTAGTTGGGAATAGGCAACCAGCTAAAGACAGTAAAAGATCTTGTCACTTTGTTAGTGTTTGAGCACTTAATCTGCTGCTTTCACTGTATGCCTCCTGGGAAGCTGAGAATGCTTCTGAATGTTGTATGTATGGTCTGTTGGGGTAATAATATAGGGTACTGCGCACAGAGCTTACTGTTGAGCGGGGGTATGGGCTATAAAAATGCTATTTATAATTAGTGTTGTGAGCCCTCCATGTTACTCTCTGACCGAAGGGATAAACATGTTTAGTTCTGCTAAGCAAATGGAGCCGTTTTTTAGTTGAATGAGTCAGTTTGTTGTACAAGCTTTGATTTTTTAAAATTGTCTGTCTGGCACAGTTTGTTGCCCCATATTTGGCATGGCATAGCCTTACTTTGGCAGTTGTAGTTTTAGTTTGTTTTTAAAAAGGTGACACTGTTAACCTTACTCTTTGAGAATGTTCTTGTCATACTTGTTTTTGTTGTTGTGTGTGTGGTTTATTTTTGTGTTCCATATAATACATAAACTATGTCTATTGTATGATGAAGTGTTTGGAGTGGGGTTTTTTGGGGGGAGGGGGGCGGCGCCTGTGTTCATAGCATAACCGTTATTGATCCTGTGTGTCCAAGAACTGCGCACCCACTTCATTGTCTTTACTTTCACTTTCTTTCTCTGTCAACAACAAGAAATTTGATGCAGTATATTTCACGGATCACTTAATGGATATTTTGTCTTGGTACAAAATGATTTTAAGGGAGCCTATATTCTTCATAATTTGTTAGTGCCTCTCTGTTGATTGTACTGCAGGCCATTGGCGTGTACTTGGACTCTTCATGCTTTTGTTAATCTTTTTGTTCTTGCATAAGCTTCTTTAATAGCAAGTATAATTTTGAGTTCTATTATTTAGTGCAAATGATTGATAGCCCTCTTACTGGTATTTGTAGAAATTCATTGGGTCAAGTGTATGAATAATATATTTTCTTTCTGTTATGATCAATTATTAAATCTTTGGTCTTATATTCTAAATGAAATTCATTACTTGAAAATTGAATATTTCACATTTTTCTACATGTGAAAAAAAAATAAATCTTCAAATGCAAATACTTTGTCTTTAAAAACAAATATGATTCTATTGTTACAAGCTTTTGGCCTATTCGTGCCATCCTTCTCTGTGGGTGGTTGAAAGGTGCCACTGGTTGGTGGTTGTTTTTTTAACCAACCCCTCTTTCATTTTTGTGTATTGGTCTTGCTTATTCATAGCCCTAAGTGATTGTTATATTTTACTTATAGTGACAATAAGGTGGAGTCCACTTTAACTGAAATCTACTTGATCGCTGTTTTTTTTTTTTTTCTTCTATTCAGCTGAGCTTCAGTTTAGGGAGGTTTGCTAAAACAGAAGAAAAAGAATCAGAGATTTTCTTTTCTTTCGGTTTACCGCAGTTTTCCAATAAACCGTGTTTGGTTAAAACGGACTCCACTGCACTTCTCTTTCTGTACTGATCCTTCTTCAGTAAGGCTCTAGGCAAAAGGACAAAAGCTTGAAAAGTTGGTAAACTGACAACAAGCGTACATTGATTTGCACTTACAGACTAGCTACCATTTGTCTTGTCGGAGAGTCAAAAGATTAGATGTCGCCGGAGAAGCCTCTTGTGTGTTGGCGGTAACGGAGAAAGGGTACTCTTCATATTTATTTTTAAACTGGCTGGGCCCCCTTTCGATGAAAGGAATGATCTGTGCATTAACACCTACTGAAAATCATTGGCGTACTATATTTACACTCTACTGGAAAGGAGCAATAAATCTTAAGAGAAAAGTGACACATGTGTTTCCAAGTTGCCAAATATGTATTTATAGATTGATTCCCTATTGCACCATCGTGGTTGTACACGCCAGAATTTCAAATTCAAAGGTGTGGAACCCGTGCGCACAGCTGTTTGAGCTAGTGAACGGAAACCTCACTTGTTTACAATGGCGTCTTAGAAGACGGACTTTCCCAAGATTAGATCTAAACGAAACTAATGAAAAAGTTCAGGCTCCTCAATGAAACTGTGCTCCCTTTAAATGATTCTGAACCACCATTTCTTTTGTCAAATTCGAAAGTTAAGTGGTTTGGAAGAGTGTTAAGCGCCCAAAGTGACGGACTTTCACTAATATCATATGTAGAGATTCCTTGCGGGCTGTGTACAGTTTGCAAGACTGAAAATTGAAAAGCTGTGTGCTGTGGATCATTTGGTACTGAAATTCAGATGTCTTTCTTTTCACGTGTCTATATTGAAGTGCCCAAGTATTTCTTTTGAGATAGTAGACTATTAGTAGATACACTCAGATACACATTTATCATCACTTTTGAAAGGTTGGATATGATTATCTGGGCTTCTTTCAAATTGGCAGTTAGTTCCGTTTCAAATTTGTCTAGATTTTAACCAAAAAAATTTCCAACTCTACTAAGTTTTTTTTTTCCTTGTACCTCTTTTCATTTATTTTCCCTTTCAAAGTAGTTGAAGAGAAGTCTTCCTATGGTCTTCTCTTTTGTATTGTCATGCTGTCTGATACAACTGCGGTGTACCTGTTTTTTTAATCACGGATGCTAGTCTTCCAATTATCAAAACCAAAGTGTTAAAATTGATAGTACACGTATTGAATAATGCTGGTGTTGTACTTTGACGTGAATGTTTGAGGTGTGAACGTAGTGAGTGCATTGAGCAGACAGTTTTGCTCGTTTGTTTTGATAAATCCCATGTAAAAAACTCTTGTTTTTAATAAAGAATGATTCCTCTGATTTACTTTTTTTGCGTCTTAGTTTTTTAACATTAGTGGACCCCCTTTCTCTCTCTCTCTCTGTCTGTTTCTCTCCCTCTCTCTCTCTCTCTCTCTCTCTC